TTCAGTTTTAAGGCCGATACGATAGGGGGCCCATTATATCGTGCATCCCTAGTTTTTTTTTTATTTAATTTCATTGTATTTATATTTTTCTGTAAATAATCCTGAGTGTTTTTTCATAATGAAAGATAAAGAAATGAAAAAATGTCTGAAGTATAGAAACTTTAAAAGATAAATGACTGAAATGCATTACTGTGTGTTTGTCCTTCCACTGTGAATCTGATAAAATACGCTAATGTTTTTAAATCATTCCAGACCTTCAGTTGTTTTTTTTTTAACTCTCCTCTCATCAGCTGTGCCTCTTCAGTTTCAGAAACCGCAGGAGCATTATCCTCCTTTTCGCTTCGGGACGGTTCCAAACGGGAGCACCGAGAGGAACATCCGCAGCAACTATCCTGACATGCACACACACATGATGAAATATAACCAGAAGGGAGTAGAAGAAGCTCTGGAGAGTCTCAAAACCGGGTAAAGATATGTTCACGTTATGAGCACAGCTGTTTCCTGCAAGCTATATTTAACTGATATTTGTGACAGAAAAGTTGTCAGATGACAAAATGATCATAATTTTGGTGACACGGCAAAGATTTGATGCTCTTTGTTTTTTACGATCTATTTTGGTAGCAGGCCAGTGTGATGCCTGTATTTTTAGATGCAGTCAAATCTGTTGTTATCAGTTGGCAGAATATGAAAAGCATTGTCAGAAACGTGGCATTTTATGTCATCTCGAAGAAAACTACTTTGGATTTTAGAGTCTTTGAAGATGCTTTCTTGACAACAATATGCATAGTTTATTTTTTTATTTATTATTTCCTATGATAGAACCAGAAAGTTTCCTGTATGTAAAGCCTTTGATGTAAACATCCGTTCTCTAAAATGTCGGCCACGCCGTCCTAGGAGAGAAAAATAGCTTTTATTATTGTACAGGTAAACAGTTTTCTAAGAGAAAAGATACAAAGTCGAACCAAAAACAAAAAAATAATAAGATTGATGCAAGTACACTGCAAAAACGATCTAGAAATAAGTAAAAATTTCTTAAATTAAGTGTTTTCACCCTTAATTTGAGCAGGTAAATTTGATAGTTTGCCAATGGAATGAGTAATTTTACTCTTAAAATAACATAATTAGATAAAATGCACTTGAAATAAGACAATGCAATTGAGTTTTCTTATTTTAAGTGTAAATTGTCTGGTTCCATTGGCAAAATGCCTCTTTTACCTCCTCAATTCAAGAACAAATGCACTTATTTTAAGAATAAATGACTTATATAGATTTTGATTTTTTCCAGTGTGCACTGGAAAAACTATCTAGAAATAAGTATTATTTCTAAGAATTAAGTGTATTTATAAGAATTAAGTGTATTTACCCTCAATTTGTGTAGGTAATTGACATAGTTTGCCAATTAAATTGGTATTTTTACTCTTAAAAAAAGATAATTAGATTATATGCACTTGAAATAAGACAAAGCAGTTGTGTTTTCTTATTTTAAGTATAAATTGTCTTGTTCCATTAGCAAAATGTCTCTTTTTCCACCTTTAAATTCAAGAACAAATGCACTTATTTTAAGAAAAAATGACTTATCTAGATTCAGATTTTTTGCAGTGTAGTTTTTTCTCCTCGCTGGCACGGAATGGCTTGAAATAATCTGGCACTGATGTCTGGTCTGAAGGCAAGTTAAATAGTGATACTTGTGAGTAATCAGACCAGCATCACACCACAAAGACACGCAAAAAAAAAACATTTTTTTGATCATTTATATCTTTACGCAGCATATAAGAACTATATTTGATCTACTTTAATCTAGGAAGCTGGATGCCTTCATCTACGATGCTGCTGTTTTGAATTACATGGCCGGAAAAGACGAGGGCTGCAAGCTGGTTACCATCGGCAGTGGGAAAGTTTTTGCCACCACAGGATATGGCATCGCTCTGGAGAAAAACTCCCGCTGGAAACGGCCAATTGACTTGGCTTTGCTTCAGTTTCTAGGAGACGGTAAGCTCTATTTTTTTTAAGCACTAGAGAATTGAAACAAAAAAAATTGCAGACCCCATTCAGATTCCCATTTTTAGACAGAGCGGGTCACCTTGCTTTCCATGTGAAGGGTTTGTCCGCTTGAAAAATCCTTTTGGTCAAGGATTTGCATTTTTGAAATGAGTTAGACGTAAAAAGTTACCAAATGGAAAAATTGGAGGCTTTTATGCCATATGTCAAATCTTGTCTGTTTAACACAGTTCTTGATGTTTTCCTCTATATCTTATTCATTCATCGCTGTGGGCCGTAGGCCTATTTCATGGCAAATATGCTGTGACTTCCAAGTCTCAAACCATAAGGAAGTTCTGCTTAAATTGCAGAACTGTTCTGTATATATAATCTCTCCGCAGCCTTTGATACAGTCGACCATGCAGTCCTTGTATCTCGCCTAGAGCACATCGGCATCTGTGGCGCCGCTCTCCAGTGGTTTAGATCATACCTAGCAAACAGGAGTTTCTCTGTCGTGATTGGTGACCACTGCTCCTCAAAGGCATCGCTGCCCTGTGGGGTGCTACAGGGATCTATTCTCGGCCCTGTTTTGTTTTCTTTATATATGCTACCTCTGGGATCAATTATAAAAAAACATAACCTGTCTTTTCACTTATATGCCGACGACTTGCAGATATATTTGCCCTTGAAACCAAACGAAAAAACTGCATTCACTAAGCTACTGGACTGCATCACAGATATAAAGCAGTGGCTGTCACAGAACTTTTTGCACCTAAACGACAGCAAAACTGAATGCATTTTGTTTGGTTCTCCATCAATTTCAAATGTTCTCGCCACAAACTCCAGCAATCTAGCCCCTTTTTTTAAATGCCATGTCAAAAATCTCGGGGTAACATTTGATAATGGGCTCAAATTTGACAAACAGATTAGCTCCGTTGTCAGCTCAAGCTTTTTCCAGCTCCGTCTTTTGGCCAAAGTCGAGTCCTTTCTCAGTCAGCAGGATCTTGAGAAGGCAATCCATGCTTTCATTAGTTCAAGACTGGACTACTGCAATGCCCTTTACGTTGGCCTCAGTCAGTCATCCATTTCTTGTCTCCAACTTGTGTAGAACGCTGCCGCCCGATTTTTAACAAACACATCCAGACGTGAACACATTGCTCCTGTGCTGTCGTCACTCCACTGGCTTCCAGTCCGTTTTAGAATTGATTTAATTGAATTGATTTAAACTTCTGCTGTTTGTTTTTAACGCCATCCATGGCTTTTTCCCCTCTTACTTGTCTGAGATTTTAATTTTCCGTAATTGTGGCCGAGCTTTACGCTCCTGGGCTCAGCTTCTGCTAGAGGTCCCTAGGTCAAGACTCAAACACTGGGGCGATGGTTCTTTTGCCGTCGCTGCTCCCAGACTGTGGAACAAACTACCTCCTGACTTCCGCACCACTACTGACCTCAGCCTTTTTAAAAAAAAGCATAAAACCCACTTTTTTAATTTAGCATTTAATTCTGACTATAATACTGTCTCTTAGGCTACGTTCACACTGCAGCCTGAAGTGACCCAATTCCGATTTGTTTGCCCATATGTGACCTGTATC